ATTTGCTTCAACCGCTGAATATTACTCTATCGCTGCAAAAACACTCAAATTCGGCAGAGCACATAAAATGCATATAAAATGAATTAATCGAGTACATTTCAGATATCAGTGGATTTGAACAAACACAATTGGTTATGTGCATAAATTCAGTATTACAATGCACTGTAAAGGTCGCAAATGCGTAATTCAGTTAGTTTTAGTTTGATTATAGGTTTTATCAAATTATTATGTTTCAAAACCGGAACAAGTTTTCGATAGGTATGGACTAGCGATTCTGCTTCATGAGACAGAGGCTTGCGACAGGCGACCCCCTTCGCGCGTGTTTTCAAGTGAAGCTTTCAAAAGACATTCCAACAGTCAGCAGCAGCACAAGATCCCCGCTATCTACACTTAAATTTAATTACAAATGCAAACCAAACAGTACTATAAGTATTAATACAATATATTGAAATAATTATTCATTATATATATATATTATTTATACAATTAATTATTAAATATATATAACACAATAATTTGAATATTTACCTCGGATGTGGCATGATACTCACTCACCCCAGAAAGTTCAATTCATTTCCTTTCTTCGTAAGGGGAGACAACAGACGTGATCTTTCGGTAAAGTGCCTTGCTGAATGGAATCTGTCAAAATTTCAATGTCATTAGCCCTAGGAAATGAACACCGCGTGCTTTAAAATAAGCGGCGCCGCCGGCAGGCGACCAAGACTGCGAAATCACGGGGTCGAGTAGGGGAGGGGAGAGTTTTCGTTTCTGCCATTCCTTTTGCGCTTTCCCTTTCAGCGGCCATGCACTATTCAGTTCCCCTTTTCTCGCCTGCTCTATCGTTGGATACAATAAGCACAGTTTGCTCGCAAGGGCGAATTGGGGTTGGGGATCTGAAGGCAGACCAATTTTTCACTGAACGCATCAATGGTGTGATTAGTGTTTTGTTGTAACTTCCAGTTTGATCCAGCAGCTATAATTTTGTGTTTGAACCCCTTGCGATCTGAGTATTCACTGAGAAAAAATCAAGGTATTTTGACATGTTGCGTCTGACCATACTATTTTTATAATTTTTATGTACATTAAGATTATATTGATCTACTTACATGAAATTTTTGCAGCTGTATGTTGCTGATGAACCACATTGTTACTTGTATTAAGTACTTAAATTAAAATATTTGCATTTTATTGGGGTTAGGTTTAGCGGCTTTGGTCCAGAGAGGGTGAGTACAATTTTTTTCTTTAATTCTTTCTCGAATAGGGCAATGTACGCTTATAAGATGGCTCAGTTCGTAGCATCGTTGACATCAATGAATTTTCAAAAATTGCAAAAGTTAATTTCTTCCACTACTTCCTACGACTACAATATTGAAGAAAGACGTTTCATCTTAATGAAAGCTATTCTTCTAAATTAGATTTTCATTCAATGTCTTGTACACTTTTCTATTATTGTGTACTCTGAACGGACGCTAATTATGCCCTGTGACACAATATCATGGGTTGTTAAAGTGAAGTGTGGATTGATGTGGCCAACAGAACAGAACTTGTATATTTTTGAAAACACGTAATGAAAAACAATATTCGCGAGCGGAATATGTCGCATTTATAACTTCAAACGTGCATGGCGATTACACGCTTCCCTATCCAATTCACCTGTCCAATTTGATGAGAAGTCTCCGGCGTTCGCACTACGCAGTTAACGTTTAACATCTTTGAGCAGTCCAACGAATAATTAATATTGACCATCGTTAGTCACAAGACTTTATTGGCGACTCCTCTGTAAACATCTCTCTTCGTTTCCCAGAAAATTATTCTATGCTGGGCCAATTCATTGCCATTCTTTGCTGTTGTGCACCCCAATTGCAGTACGTTGGCAAATCGACTTTTGAAAACTTACAGTTGTTAGGTTAGCAAAGGATTTTATTAACTAAATTACTCATTCCGCGCAGATTCTCCGTAAGTGAACTTCAACCCACTCTTTTAAGGTACATTTTTGAGCATTTTTCGAGTAATGTTTGAAGTGGTTAGGACAGAAAGTGTATTATACAAATATTACGGAACCGTTAACAATATCACGGGAAAGTATGTACTGTTTAAGCACCATGTACTACTGAAGCTTCGGGAGCAATCGTCTGATAACACAGACATTTGGAGTTGCGAATGAGTGAAGTGATTCCGAAACCTTCGAACCCGAGTTCAAATTAGAGATGCGACATCGATAACAAAACATCGATATTATCAAACATCATTGTTAAAAATACACCGACCAAAACCCATAAATGGTTCTCAACATCGATGTTTTTAGATTTCTTTAGAAACCTCTAACATTAAATTCGGGTGAATTAAAATTTAATACCAGTTTTCCTGTTTATCAATTCGCCGAATAAGCGTACGAGAAAAAGTGGCAGATCCTACGCCCACAACGTATTTGTTGCCCACATCTCAATGTGCGAAATGAATATGAAGAAAAAAGAAATATAAGAGCATGGAGGTCATTTCGGGCGAGAAAGTTTGGTCGATGAAAGTAGTGCAAAGAGCGTTCCTTTGGTCCAAACACATGTTACCATCAGTTATTATTTCATATTTTAACTTTTAGTAAAGTGGTCATGGGAATTTTTCATTCCGAAACAAAACATCGGAAAAGAAAAAAAAAAACGTCGATCACAAAGACATCGATGTTAAAAAACATCGGCGTTAGTACACAATCGTATGTGTTTCTACAAAAAAATCGATGTTTCAAAAACGTCGACATCGATGTCGCGTCCCTGGTTCGAATCCCAGTGAGGGCAAAAACGATTTGTGTGTTATAACACTTGTGTTCAACTAGTATCAAACAGTTAATAATGCGAGAAAGTTCGTGTAGCACAACTAGGGCCCCTGAAGTTGATAATTCTTGCTCCTATTTTAGCAAATTTCTTCCTCTAATACGTTGTGGAATCAGAATCCATATTTTGCGAACCCTTAAAAAACAACTACAACAACAACAAAAAATGTTTCCGGCGAAATGTATGAGTGTCCACATATCTGTGAACAAAACTAGCACCTAAACCGTACACAGGGTTTTCGATAATCCCCAAACGACTTGGCTGATATAACGGTCCCTTAAATTTGAAACAGATATTTGATTTTTGCAGTACTTCACGGGAAGCCTAAACATTTTCAAAATTTTCTTCAATTTCGACTCAACAGATTTTCTTTATTTTTTTTTACTCGAAAAGGCTCATACAGATTACGGTTATAATACAACTAGGTGGTTCGATTTTCGTGAAACTCTCTGAATTTTTGAAAATTGTATTGTACAAAATTGTATTGTTCAAAAATTGTACAAACGTATAACATTTTTCGTCCATCTGTTTCAACTAAAAAATTGAAAATGGGTATTTTTTATTAAAGAAATCTGTTCTTCAAAATTATATCTTTAAAATATTATGCATTTGTTTCAAAATGTGATGTTATCGCGTATTTTTGAGTGAAATTGTGACAATTATTAAAAAGTACGCAAACATTATTTTCTTAATTCTTTACATTTTCTCTATGTTTTACTCGAAATCGCCCTATTAAAAAAAAAAAAAAAATTAGAACTACTACTTACATTTTCAAGCGCCGGGATGAGTATTGTGCGGACTCAGGCAGTTGATAATGCTAATTTCTTGTAAAGCTCGATTCCCAAGATGAGCAAATCATTTTGCGGGTTCGAAACACTTATGCAGCGAACCAGATATCTCTCAGACGCGGTGCACCGCATCAGCCTAGTCGAGCTCTAAGCCCTCGAATTCCCTACATGTGTGATAGAGTAGTGCATGTGAGTGGGTGTGTAAGGGGAGGCAATAGGACAAGGAAGAGGAAAGAAAGATCGCGAGCGGCCCGTGGCCCGTTTGCAGCAACCAGCAAAGGTGGCTCAGGTCATCAATTGATCTTACTGCAGTGCGTTTCACAGAGAGGTCCAAGGAATAGAGCCCCGACGTTGGCACGTTTTTCGACGCTAGCGTGTCAGGTCGAGTTCAGCCACTAACGAGCAGAATTCTAGCTGCCGGCTGCTCTTATCGATAATGTTCCGAGGTTTCTCTCCCAACGAACGTCGGAGCAGTACCGTAACAAAAGGGCCATGGACTGCGCGCGATCTTTCCTTCTTCCCTGTCATGTCCTAACCCCTTACACTCATTTATATGAGCACTTACATGCATTACACTACCACACATGTTGGGAGCTTAGGTTTCGTCCTGGCTGGGGCGGCGCCCCGCTGATAGGAGATACGTGGTTGGGGAAAGTCCTCGCGCACCGACGTAGGTTAGCACCAACGTTCCACGATAAAAAAAACGAACGGCACTTACGGGACTAATGACCTTACCAGTTCACGCAATCACTAATCATCAATTGTTTATATTTTTCATTAGAAAAAAATTAAAGGCAATGGTTCACCGTTCGCGCGCTGTCAGTTGTCGGTGTTGGCGTGCAAAGCATGGCTGCGTGCAACGGCGGCCTGTTGCATGCGAGTAGAGTAGGCAACTCAGGCCGTGTGGCAACGCATGGTGCACGCAACGCTGTGATCGGCAAACGCCTTCGTAGGTGCGCGCAACGTGCTGATTGGCAACGAGTGATGTGGCAACGCTGTGGCAACTGATGGCTGGCACGTTTGGTTGCAACATCGATGTGCCAACGGCACTCGGCTCTGGGATCTTCGGTGGCAACGCGTGAGTTGTCGGTAACAGCGGTGTTGGCGCAAACGGCCTGTTGGCGGTACCGTAACCGCGCAGACTTAGACCTTGCAGTGGATGTCTTGATGCGGCAACCGGCCGGCTGGGCAACGGCAGTGGTGGCAACGGCGGCGGCGGCGGCGGCGGGGTCTGCGTCTGCGAGGAGCGCGCGCTGGCGGCGCGGTCGCCGGTCATTCGCGCCGGGGCGGGCGAGTCGAGCGGTGCGCGCGACGACGAACCGACTCACCTGCGCTGGAGAAGGCGGCGTGCGGGCGTCCGCGCGAGTGAGTGAGGAAGCGAGTGCGTGCGTGAGGACGGCGGGGAATGCTGCGAGAGGACGCGCCAGCGCCTCCTGTCACCCGCTCAAGCGCCATGGCGTCCCACAGGGACATGACGATGGAGTGGGACATGCTGCGCCAGGTGTGCTCGGTGTGTGGGAACCCGACAGGTGAGCCCCTGATTAAGGTTATGTGGCGTCCAGCTTCACCTCTTGATGTTGGAGCTGGTTGAAATTAACTGTTTTCAAACTAATTACCATGAAAGAAGAGTGACATAACGATGGAGTTGCATTTCTCCCTACAGACTGTCGCACACTGTTTTTAATTTTTTTACATTAAATACGTAAATAAATAAGAGTTCATATGGATTTTCATTGTATCTGACGTTCAAAATGGTTCAAATCGGCCAATGAACGTTCGAGCTCGATGCCACGCCATTAATGTACACATATTTGAAAATGATATCCATGTGCTGAACAGATTTTACCGCCTACAAAGCAGGTACTTCGAAGTTTTTCGTCTTCACCAATGACGAATTTGTGAATTGAATATGATTGTGATTAGTTTCCGTTATTAAAATGAACTTCTTTTATGCAATGTTTGAAAAGCGATGCTGTTAAATGCTTCGAATCGTTGATGTCAAAAAAGTGTCTATAAATATTATTTCAGTTGCTTGTAAATGATAATTAAAACAAATATTGAAAGAATTTAATTGAAACTTTGAAAGCATTGAAAAATTACTATGTGTATGTAATTTGTTATAACAGTTGCACAATATATAATTTTAAGATTCAAAAGTAATTTAAGATAAGACGCAGGGATCAATCGAAACGTGCATTTCATTGTTGTCTGCCCTTCCTCATTCGAAATGAATGTGTAAATATTACTTTTAACGTTAACTTTCAGAACTAGCCAAAAGCACTAACTTGTACTCTTTTAGAGATGGTTAATGAACATATAATAACCAATTCCCAAGTATTATTTTTAGGATTTATTCTGTTATTTAAGGTTCAGTTGTGCACATTTATGTATTTGAGTATATAGCAGGTTCACGGGGGCATTGACAGACAACGGAAATACTACCTTAAACGTGTTTGTTCCCTTTCGCTGATCTACATGACAAGTGGTTTCCTTTTTGTCGTCTTCGAGTGCCGTACATTGACAATGGCCGAACCTCATTGAAACTGCTCCGCCCCATAGAAGCGAGGACGTCTTAGAGTACGCAGTACTCTTCCTCCCTTTCTAGGGTGCCGTTGCTTCACAAAGGAGTCTTACCTATTCAAGAACGGGCATGCTGTTCCCGAGGACTCGCGAAAACCTACTTTCTAAGACAGATACCATCCGTGCGAATTAGTTGTGTAACGAGCCAAAAATGGTTTCTTTCTGCTGATAACCTGTCGAGAAAAGCCATTAAATATGATTCTTCTACATATTAAAAATAATATTCGAAAAATTTTAATCATGTTATAGATTCAGATTAGTTCCACATTGACAGGTCTTCAATTCGAAAACCTGTAGATTACGATATATTGTAAATTAAAATTGATGGTTATTACGAATATTGTGTTCAAAATGACTGAAACAAAAACGAAATAATTCAGATGGTTCTTAAAATCCAATTGAAAAATGTATTAACGAAATCATTGATCCACAAATGTTTAAAAAGCAACTGGAAGAATGATCGGGTTTAGATTGTACTTGGTTATCATTTAAAATTGTTACGATAATTCACATAAAATAAATAATATGAACACCTTCACTTCGCTTGTTGATATTAATTTCTGATACTGATATTGTTACACTTTAAAGAATTTTAAAAATGTTTTCCTTTTTGGTTAAATTTGCTTCTCATAATCATTTCCCCTTCCTTTCAACCTCCCCGCTTACAAAAATAACTCTCGTATCTTGAAAACGATCTTAAGTTCATTTTTACTGGAAAAAAATTTCTTAGTTCCTGCCCTTTAATGAATTAGAGAAAGCTTCGAATCCTTTGTATCTCGTGTTCAGAGGTATTACACCTATCTACTCCTAAGGGCAACTAAATGAATTACGCTTGAGAAGGAAAAATCCAACACATGACGTAAGTCCAATTCCTTTATTTCGTATTCGAATAGTACGCCCGAGTTTCTCCGGGTAAATAAGGTTACGGCGTTTTGAGAAACTTGGTGAATGTAATATATTTCCGCTGATTTTTCTTACAAATGTGGAGTGTTTATTACCAGACTGCGGAAGGGTAATTGAATAAAACTTTTCTTCGTGCAGATTTTTCCTGCCCTATTTATTTTTGAACCTATCAACCGATTTTGATGTTTGAAGAACAGCTTTTTTTCAACAAGGAAGTGATTTAATTGGGTATTTATATTTTTTCATTGAGAAAGTACGCGCATTTTTTGTAAACAATGAAGAATGAATGAGTTAAATAAATAAACATTAACATGAAATTACTGAAAAAACAAAATACCTTGAACAATCATATTCATTGTTGCGCTAATCAGAATCTGACTTCTACTGTTGAAATGTCGTTTCGGAGAATTTAGGTTCTCTAATTGAGTCATCACAATCTTGTAAGGATTTATTTTATTCATTTTTTATTTATTATAGTCGCATCAACACAAGGTTCTTAGCGATTTTTCAGTATTTTACGTTGAGGTTCGATATTCAGAATTTTTACTTTAGTTATATGCACAGTACAGTGTTCAAAATAAGAAGGGAATTATTTTAATAATACAAAAACTTGACACCCAATCATGTGTAGTATGTTAATTATCACGGAAATTCACTTACTTTATTAAATATATTGATTTTGTAACAAAATTGTATGATTTCCTGTTAGGCTTGGAGTAGATTGTTGCTCTGGTGATAGGATTTTATTAAATTGTGTAACATAGTTCTGGTTCTAAAAGATATTTCTGAAAAGTACGGTAGCATCTACATCGATATATGCTTCTTTCGTACGTATGCGAGTAAATGCAGCGCGTCTTTGGTCTCGAAGTGGTTTTATTCAGACCGGAGCGAGTTTGGCGCGCGTGGCTTTTCCGCAGGTTCCTTCCGGATTCCTTCCGTCGCGAGCTGCAGGTGGCTTAGATGTTCGTTGGGCGGTGCGCGCGAGCCTTATTCAGGTTACGCGCGCCCGTGGCGTGCGTGGTGGGCGGGGGCGGCTCAAGAAATCGTGACGGCGCTGGCTGGCGTGGAGCCGCGTCGGGAGCGGCGTTTTCGTGGGCGCTGCTTCGTCATGGCAGCCGATTCCTACTGTAAACAAATGCCGGGCTTCGGGTCTCCTTTCCGAACGCTTGGCCTTGGCTTAAGCCTTGTGGCCCGGGTGTTAACCGTTGCGATTCATACTTTACATATAAAATACATTCAAATTTATTGTTTAAAAAATGTAGTATTTAAAATAACATGCTAATTATTTTAACTTCTCTTCACGAGCTTAACGAACGAAAGCGCGGCGAAAGAGGATAATGAAATAGAGCATTTCAAAACGTGATTTGAATAATTGCTGCTTTCAGTTTCGGAGTTGCTAACAAACTACTCGGCATTAAAGCATAAAAAGGCACTGCGCAGGGTCAGGATATTTGCGAAGATCGAAGGCTGGTGCCTCGCTGCAAACTAGGAAGTGTGTAACGAATCGTTAAATAGGCCCTAAAAGTATTTTGGCGTGATGACAATTTTGCGACGCACTAACTCCATTTATTCACTGTGTGCAACTTTATTTATATCCCATTTTCTTGCTGTTGGCGCGTCAGTCGTTCGGTTTTCTCGGGGTAAGGAGTAATTTTTTTCTGGTCGTTTTCGATGGGGAAGAGTGTCATAATTTTACTTGGAAACATTTTTCATGTTATTGTTCTAAGAGTCGAGTTTGGAGAATAGGAGAAGGGAAGAGAACGTAGCAAGACTGTGTACACAATTTTCCCCCTTAACAATCCATGAACTTCTTCAGAGATTGCCCAAGCGATCGTATTAATTTAAACGGGGATTCAATGGTCATATGTTGACGATTTGGTGCTAACTCTGTTCGCAGGAATTTTGATCCTTTGTTACATAACCTTGTAAGTGAGCATATTTGCACCAACACTTGCTGTTATGATTGACAAGGTTGCTCAGAATTTGGAAGCTTCCTAGCAGCAATGTCGAACTATGGGCAGATGTGTTGTTCGCGAATTTCAATGCTCGCGAGTTTTGTTCGTTTAGTGAGCATAAATCATGTTCATAAAATCTACCTCTAAAATCTTAGTGTATTTAAAGAAATCAAAAATTAGGTCTCGTGATCCTGTGGTAGAAATTTTTTTTAAATTTATCTCTTTTCAGCTTGCATGTAACCTATAAAAGGAGCGTGTGTTTTAGGTATCATCAGATAATTTTTAGTAAATTGATAATGTGAATTAATTAAAAATGTCAATGTCCACAATTTTTACACTTTATTTTCTGTGTAATTCAAATGACGACCTAGTGCTGCGGAGTTCTGGAATCTACTTTCGATACTTCCACAATAGTTGAAAGCTAATCTGGAAACCTAAACCACTAAACAATTTTTATTTCTTTTACTTTTCACTTACCTGATTTATTTTATTTAACTGAAAGCATGATTATCCAGTTTAGACAGTACTCATATTACTCTTGAGCATGAATTTTGAATTGATGTGCTATTGTTCTCCTCCAAATTAATAATGAATTGTCTACTGAAATTTATTAACAAAACTAGCTGATGAGGCGTATAATTCCAAGAGTGATGAGATACAAAAAACCAATAACGATAGGAAAGGGTTTATTAAGATGTAACATTTTAGATATGCCAATCACCAATTTATTTTATTTTCGTATACTAAATTACTAAGAATATTTTTAATTTTGAGAAATGCAATAATAGTTGCTATCTGTAGTAAACCTATGGAGCCACAATTGTATAATATATTTACCGTTACGATGACATATTCATTCTATATTTATAATGATCCACGCCATAGCGACGTAGATGAAAAGTTTTTTTGAATGTAAGATTTTGAAGGTATTCCAGAGCAAATGTGGGGCGAAGCTGAGAAAGCTATGCTAAACTTACTACGTAACGAAAATTACAATAGAGAATATGTTTAAGTCTTGGAAATTAGAAAGGGAAGAGCTTCTTCGGAAGTTTTTCGAACAGACGTTTTTGAGCGTGTTAATACCATTAACG